GTGTCAGCACCGCTGTGGGCTGGGGGGCCTGGGGGAGGAGATGGACCAGACCATGCAGGGCTTTTGGGCAGCCTGGCTTCTTGCCTTGCTATTCTGTGGCCAGCTATGTCCGAGCAGAGCGCTGGGCTCTTCCTTCTTGGGGCCGAGACGAGAAAGGAGATCTTATGATTCCCTCTATAAACGCCCACCCAGAAGCCACGCCTCAGCGGGTACATCTCACTTGGCTGGGATGGAGTACATTCGTCAGGGGCTCTGGGACTCTTTTTGTGACTGAATCATGTAGATATGCAAGGCCCTTCGAAAAGAGCATTCTTTCTGAATGGCCGGTGCCTGGGGATCATATCCTCTCTCTCTCGGAGTTGTCACAATAATGCTTCCCAATATATCCCCCCGTCTTGTGGCCCTGCTGTTCTCCCACCCACCAAGGGTCTATTTCTCTACCTCTTGAACTGGAACTCTATTTTGACTAACAGGATAGGATGGCATCATTTCCAAGAAAAGCCTGCTCTCACCTTGGCATCCTTTCCTTCTTACCCAGTGACCTCTCCTGATAAAAGTCCAAGCAGCACAGAGCGGCCCTGGAGGATGTGTCCTGTGAAGGGGCTCACTAAAGTAGTTTCTCCGGGTGCTGCTGCCTACTAGTGGATCAGAGAGGAACTGCACCGCTGTGCTGCTGAATTCTGCGCAGGTTCCCAAAACTCGCAGTCATGAGCAGAATAAAGCAGTTTCCAGCTACCGAGTTTGGCTGCATTCTATTATGCAATGCAGAGGACAAGATCCCAAGGCCACCTGGTGATATAAACAGCAGACCTTGATCTTGAACCTAGGCAGTCCAGGTCCACAGCACATGTCTTACCCATTTCATTGGAGTACTAAGTTCGTGTGCTGCTCTGGCACAAAGCATTCGACAAATGTTCTCACCTAGTTAGTGAACCCTCCAATGCAAATCCAATCCCAGTGTCTCTCATAGTTCCGAATTTCTGGAGAAAACTTGATCTAAACCACAGGAACATTTCTCAATGTGCACAGCTATAAAATCCCACAGAAATACTAAGCAATGATAACGGATTTGTTACAGATCAGAAATAAATCTCTGAACGAGAGCCGACACTCCCTGCGATTTCCTGTTTACCTATTAGGGTTAATCTAGTCAGCTTCCGGCTAATAGAATTACTTCATGGAAATATATGCTAATAGGAACCAAGAGAAGGCTCAGATAAACAAATCTCAAGAGAAACGTTAGAACCCCGTGCTCATATCCCATTTGAGAGTCCCTCTGTCGGGTGTACCTGGCCCTGACTGGCATCTCTCATTCCTTTCTTTCTCCTTGTGGGGCAGTGCAGCAAGGGCAGGCACAGGCGAAGCTCCCATCAGACCCAGCGCCTGGATAATAAAACGCCTGAGTAACCCAAGCATAACTGCCAACGGCCACAGCACTGGAGGGGACTGCAGGAAAAAGCCATGCTCGCGTCCATACAGAAGACACACCAAAACCACATCTTCTTCTGACAAGTTTCAAACTTGACAGTGCTGCCCACATGGTGCTCTCTACAGGCCTGCTGCATCCATGTGGCTCCTGGACTCGGCAGCGTGATCCCTTGTGCTGCCCCAGGCCAATCATACCAAGCAGCCAAGAACAGCACACTGCAAAGCAATGGACCACAGGGGTCCAGAAGAGAACAAGAAGTCCATCTCTAGGCCAACGAGGAACTCTGCTACCTCAACCCCATCTAGTCAGACAGCCACAGTGGCCTAAGGCCTGGGGAAATGGTAGCTTGGAACATGTGTGCCTGACACTCGCTTGGGCTTGGGGGTCCTATGTACCAGAGTTCAAGTCTCATTTCTACGAGCTACCAGGTGATGAAATGGATTCTCAGTCCTGTCCAAAGCACTGCTTTCTTATCTACAATGCCAGGAACCCTTGCATTTGTGGGACAAGCTCATGAGCAGAGAGAGCATAGGGGCTGTGAAAGGGGAGCCTGCCCTGTACCCCTCCTTCTCAAGACTCAGACAGACACTGCCAATTCATCTCCAAACGCTGTGGACTAGGGCTGCTACATTTCATACGAATCTTGACGACGCCTCAGAATCAGGAGGGACTTCTAATATGAGGCACAGCCATTTTACAGATCAGGAATTTGAAACCCAAAGGATCTGATGCTTGGGACAACGTAATCTTGCTTATTCACTTCCTTTACTGTGAGTTCAAAGCCCTTCCTCATGAAAAGTGATTTGGTATATGCTACAACAAAGATTGGGCAGCTAGAGGCTCAGGAAAGCCATGTTCAACACTGCTTCTAACACTAACTGCAGAACCCTAGAAGTCACAAAATCTTTAAGACCACTTCCAGTTCTATTCAATCCAATGATTCCAATAGTCCTTTTCTTTGAAGGTGTAATTCCCAATATTGTCCACCAGGTGGCACAAAATCTCCTTTACAGAAACCCGAACAGTCACAACAAAGGACAGGGAGGAACTGGTTATATATATATGTATATTTTTAAAAAGCATTAACTTTTCCACAATTTGACTTTAGTGTTAACCATGCTTTTGGTCAGCAATGCACTGTGTGTCCTAGGAGACGGACTAAACTTGAGACTTCGAAGCAGGGATGTGGGTGAGCCCAGGAAAGACCGCAGAGAATGAAGTCTCGGTTAGTGAGCGCTTCCTACCTGGTATGGTAGGAAGTATGGGGAGCAGGGGTCATGTGATTACCTGTGAAAGGCCTGGATGTGTAAGGTATTGAAAACGTTTGCTTCCCTGATAAAAGTCAGTGAGGAGGAAAAGAAATAATTGGCGGGAATCATCTCAGACTACCATGGCAGACAAGTTTCACATGTATCAAAACCTCTAGGGAATAAATGCAAATGGCTTCGTGGATTATATCCTGGAGTCAAGAGGGGACAGTAGAAGAAAAGCTGGACAAATGAGAACAGAATGCTTATTTAAGAGCTTTAAATTATTCTGTAAGGAATGCCCTCCTTGATGATCATTTAACAAGGGATTTTTAAGCCTGGCCAAGGCTCTCAGTGAAAGAGTATGTCCTTGGCAAGTCTGCAACTATGGGGTTGAATATTTAATACAGGGAAGGAGGGGCAGAGGCAAGGAGGTGAAGGGAGAGGGGAAATTTAATACTAGAAAGTAATAGTTCATATGCAGTAAAACCAAGACAAACAGATAAAGAACGGCAAAGCCCCAGGTGACCTGCGATGTGGGAGGATGGGGAATCTACGGTATTATCGTGGATGGGGAAGCTACGGTATTATCGTGGATGGGGAATCTACGGTATTATCGTGGATGGGGAAATCTATGGTATTATCGTGGATGGGGAAGCTATGGTATTATCGTGGATGGGGAAGCTATGGTATTATCGTGGATGGGGAAGCTATGGTATTATCGTGGATGGGGAAGCTACAGCATTATCGATAGGACTGAATGCTACTGCAGGCTTCCTGAAAGCAGTTTTCCAGGAAGTGACAGAAGCCATAAGACTGATGGCACAGACCTAGCAATATCAGCTTCAGCAACCTCTACTAACGCAGTAACTGAACAGAAAAAAAGACACCCATTTTTAGGAAGCTGTAGCTCTGCTCTGTAGTGTTACGAACCGTGCCGACGGTGCCACAGCCTAAGTGAGGGAGAGGGGACAGTGCTACTAATTAAATAACAATAATGGCCAGCAATAATGAAGTTAAGGAGGCTGAGCCAGGAAACTGCGGACAGATGCTGGGGCAGAGAGAGGATATTAGTGAGGAACCGACTGCGTCTCGGCTCTATGATTATGACGGTGTTAATATTAGGGAAAACAGGGCGAAGGGCATATGGAGATTCAAGCCTGAGAACTTCAGTGAATTGTAATTATTTAAAATAAGATTAGGTTTCAGAATTACATACAAGCTCACACACAGATGATTGCCAGTTACAAAACGTATTTAATGTCTAAAACATGAAGAAGGCTCACAGACATTTTCAGAGTTATACACATACTCTGTCACGTGTGCTTGTATGGACGCTGCCATTTCTGTTTACAGGGCTCACCAGACAACTGGTCTAGCAATTATTCTTACCTTCCTAGCACGTAGGCCTTAGATATGTGAATATATATATATATATATATATATATATATATCATGTTTTAACACACAATGAGAGAGTAAAAACTTCTTGCTTAGGTGTGACCACGGAGGCCAACAGATGGTGTCAGGTCCCTGTCAGCAAAGCTACAGGTGGTTGTTAGCTGCTGGAAACCAGATTCGGGTCCTTTGGATGACTGTACCTCATACACTATATTTATAATTTGATACAATATGGAATTAAATATCTTTTGTAGTGTTTGTCCGTCTGCCCGCCTGTCTGTGTGTGTGCGCACGCGCGTGTGCATGTGACTGTATGCACATGTGTTCTTGAGTTACACTGATGATTGTATAACGAAGCACCAGGAAACAGTTGCAGGCTCTAAGAAACCGGGAGGCCAATGAGCACTGTAATTACTATAAAGGTACCAAAGCCCTGCAGCCCCCTTCCCCTCATAGTTTCTTCACCATGGGAGACCTTCTGGATCAGGGGTGGGACGGAGGTCATTTGAAGCAGGTTCTGACTTGGTTCTCCTCAGGATGGGCCCCATTCTCCCTAATAATGACCCACAGCTGCTCTATGCTGAGAACCATGTGACCGGAACACGCACTCCAACCGCTTAGCCCACAGAGCCCGACACCTCTACTGATACATTTCGGCTATCTCCTCTTCCACCTTTGGGTTGACTGAGGGCCACCACTCCTGTCACTGGACAGCATGGTAAGAGTCTGCATGGTGGTGACTGCAGAAATAGCACACACCTAAGCTGGAAGAGGGGTGTTCTTAAAATGTCACAGAGACGAGAGAGAGAGACAATGAAAAGATAATTACTTAGTAAGTGGCTGGGGGAGGGTGGCGTTATTCAAAGCCATTACTCTGACATGACAATATAAGCTCTTTGCTGAAAAGCATCTTTCTTACAAACCTTGGCTTCTGGGTCACTGTTGACACTACAAGAATCATCATCATCAGCGTGAGGGACATTTCTAGGAAGAAAACATAAAACTGGTCTTAGAACGGTGTTGTGAAGACTCGATGAAACAACCACCCTTTTTGGCAAACCCTGCTACCCTCCTACCTCAGTTTCAAGGAGGCATAGCGCAGTGTTGCTCCCTCAAACTCTTTTAAACTGGGGTCTGGGTTAACTGTGGCTGCGTGCAAATCCTGGAGGGAAAAAGATGCTGTTAAGGCACAATGGAAGGGCCCGTTACCCTGCCTCAAATACCAAAGAGGAGCGAAAGCCCCAGCAAGAGGCGCAGAGTGGATGTGAGCTCAGGCAGAAAATGGCATGCAAGGGCTGCCACGTGCTGACGTGGCTCACAAGCTCTGGTTCTTACAGGACAATAGGGGACCGGGGACACACCAGCTTGAAGTCATTCACAATGGGAGACATCAAAAAAGAAAAAAACAGACAATGTGAATGTGAGCAGCACACCCCTGGCAAGAAGCCCCACGGCTCTGTCCCTGCAGAATGCATGATATTCACGAAGGAGAAAATTAAACAGCCATGCAGAAAGGAACAAAACAAGATGAAATGATCTGAAATCTGACAATATACTTGCCTTCCAAATGTCACTATTAATCTTTCCCCCATTCAGAACAGCAAAGTCACTCCATGGCTGTTTCTAGACATATAATTATTCACACAGGAAAAAAAAAAGCACATTGATTTTAAGGAAAAAAAAAACACAAGGAGAAAAAGAAAAAAAAAACACAAGACACTGTTGTTAGCATTGATATTCACAGGATGGGTTAGGGAACAAATTAAATCTAATAGTAACTTGTTAGCGCTCTCTCTAAGTTAGATTATTACCTGGCCAGGACAGGCCTCAATTACCTACCAAAGTAAATGGTTCAACATTATTAGGACGCAGTGCGGTTATTTCCTAAATGTGGTCCCAGAAGGAAGCCATATGCTTTCCTGCCTTCAGTCCCCAGTCTGCACAATTCCTCTGAGATACCCTCCATACACACACAATCACACACATGTGTCTAGAGATAGAAGAGGGGTCAGGGATGTCACTAGGCTGGCTTGGGGACTGGGGGATGCCCATATCTAAGAGCACAAATGTCTGCAGTTCAGTTACTGTTACCCACAGAGGGAATAGGACAAAAGCTCAGTCAGGGGCAGAGGCTGAAGTCACCATCCTGGTGGGATTTATTCCACATAATGGAAGGCAGCCCCACCCAGTATACTGTGAACCACTTGTTCATAAAACGCTCTCCTTCCAGGCCTTGCAAGTCTGTCCAGAGTTCACACCTGGCGGGGAAGTGATTTTCTAAATGGCTATAGACCACAGCACAGAGCCTGTGGGAAAGCTCTCACCACAGACCTCCGCCATCCCAGCAAGGAGGAAACTCCCCCCCCCCCCCCCACTGTGCCAAGGGAATACTCACATATTTTTCTAGATTTATGGAGCTAAATGAAAGGACTAAAACTCAAGGCTGGCCTGGTGAATCTCCTCTCAGATGAAACATCAACAACGGAAAGGTGGTTACCATGTAACTAACTTCTCAACTGCAGTTGAAAGCAAATGAGTAGCGAAGGGTGACCCAAAACTTATAGTCAGGCCACTTAAGACAGCTTTTCACTAAGAGCAAAACAAATCAGCTTTGGTCTAAACCCCGTGGGATAGCGGGCTGGCTAACTCTGCAGACTCGGCAATGGTGGACTGGCTAACTCTGCTGACAGACGCGGCAGGGGAGAGGTTCTGCCCACCACCTCCACTGGCAACAGAACTGGCTTTCTGTTTTGGGCAGGGAGCCTGAACTGCCACTTTCAAATACAAACGATTGCAGATCCTCAGACTAATTTCGAAAACTAATCTCTTCCAGTAAATATAAGGATAAAAATGTCGCCTGTCTTAGCTCTCTCCTTACTCCATGTCCCTCAAAGTGTGTTCGGCCTCCACTAAGAAGTGTAACTTGGGAGAATTGTGGCCCGTTTAGATCAGAAGGGCTGGGAGCCTGAGACGGGTACAGGGTTTTAGCTATGTGTGTTTTCCTGTGTTTTTTTAATATATATATTTAAAGTGCACATGTGTGTATATACACCTGAGTATATGTATGCGCACCAAATACACGCAGGGGCCTGCAGAGACCAGAAGGGGGCATCAGATCCCCGAAAACTGGAGTTACAGGTGATTGTGAGCTGTCACGTGGGTGCTGAGAGCCAATCCCAGCTGCCTTGCAAGAGTGGGGAGCCCTCTTAACATCTGGGTTCTCTCTGCAGCCCCACTGTTCCTGTTCTCAGAGTCACTCTCTGGAGCTATAGAAAATGCTCCCGGCAATTGTGAGCAGCAAGTGCAAGAGGAAACATCAAGCTGTTCGTGTCTTTTCCAAACAGCCCCCCACGGCTCCACATCAGGACCCTGGCTGCAGGGTGGGCGGCGCCCATTCTTCCTTTAGGTTGAACATTGAAAAGGGGCATCAGATGTGGATCTGAAGAAAGTCAAGCTAAGGCATGTTTGTGTGGAGAAACCTCAAAGGAAAAGGAAATAAGAAGTGAAGAAGCGGGAATGAGAAGAGAACGCAGAGAGGGAGGGAGAAAAGAAAAGGAAGAAAGAAAAGAAGGGGGGGAGAAGAGAGAGAGAAAGAGAGAGAGAGAGAGAGAGAGAGAGAGAGATGAAAGAAGGAGGGGTTGATGTCTGAAAACAGACACTTGCAATCAGAAATTATCTAAGAAGGGCTCTGTGTTGGGACAGGAGAGGACGAAGGAATATTCTAAATGGACCATTCAGAAAAACTTCAGGACTTAATGAAAACAGGCCTCTGTGTGGGTGCCGGATTTTATGCCTTTTTATATCCTGGTCTCTGGACACAGGAGTCTCAGTCTCTGTAAGGGGAAAGTTGACTGTGGTTCTAGGCCTCTATGAAGCCAGCTCTTGTGCTATGGAGTCGGTTGGCAGCCGCCGGGCGGTCACCTACGTCTACATAAACAAAGCCTTATGCAATGATTCTGCAGAAGGTTAACAACAGTGAGAGCATTTGTTGCAAGACTCAAGTGAGGAATAATGGCAAGCTCATTCCGACTGAGCCAAAGGTATTTCTTTTTAAGCCCCATTTTAAAACAATTTATTGATATCAAAGATGAAAATTTTCCTTTCTGGTAAAAGCAACCCTAACTTTTCTTTTTTTTTCCCATTTTAAACAAAGAACAATACACACTTTTTCTTAAATTTTTAAGAACATGGTATAGCTAATTATTTTTAATAAGAGAAAATATTTTCTATATTTAGCTAACTATTTAATAATCGGGTTTATTTGTTTTTATAGTGCTGCAGCTCAAGCCCAAAGCCTTGAGCATGTCAGCCAGTCACTCTCCCTGAGCTACAACCCAGCTCTAGTAAATAATGTTAGCTAATAAAAACAAAATAATAATAATAATAATAACCCCACCAGAGGTTCTCTGGCTCACCAGAAAGCCTACAGTTACTTCAGTCTGCAGTGTAGAATGGAAAAGATGGGGACGCGATGGTGGGGGGAGGTACAAAGAGAAGGCAGCAAAAAGGAAAGAGGAGGTGAGACATATGTTTCAGGTAGGAAGTGACACACGATAAGATGAGAGGAAATGGAAAGAGAACCTCTTCTGTAAGCAGCAACCCGCCTGGAAACCTTCTAGGCAGAGTGGCTAAAGTCTGGCATGGCCACGAGATGTCCTGGGGTAGAGTGGTAGCTGGACTACCTCCCAGTCCTTATCCTGGCCCTGCTCAGGGTGCAGCATCCACTGCTCCAAAAATGATGCTCAGGGTACAGCATCCATTGCTCTAAATATGACACTCAGGGTGCAGCATCCATTGCTCCAAAAATGGTGCTCAGGGTGCAGCATCCATTGCTCTAAATATGATGCTCAGGGTGCAGCATCCATTGCTCCAAAAATGGTGCTCAGGGTACAGCATCCATTGCTCTAAATATGATGCTCAGGGTGCAGCATCCATTGCTCTAAATATGATGCTCAGGGTGCAGCATCCATTGCTCTAAATATGATGCTCAGGGTGCAGCATCCATTGCTCCAAAAAATGATGCTCAGGGTGCAGCATCCATTGCTCCAAAAATGGTGCTCAGGGTGCAGCATCCATTGCTCCAAAAATGGTGCTCAGGGTGCAGCATCCATTGCTCCAAAAATGGTGCTCAGGGTACAGCATCCATTGCTCCAATATGATGTTAACAACTCCAGAAATCAAAGAGAAACAGACCAGTGACCTTCAGCTGGAAAAGGTCCTTCTTCAAAAAGCCAGCAATGTGTTCCTGAGGATGGATTCTCAGGAGCTGGAAAGCCTTAGGAGGAAGCAGTCTTAATCATGTGCTATGTCTGAGATGGGTCCTTTTAAAACCCTGTTTGGGAAATAATCCCTGTGTAGCAGTGTTGGGGATGGGATGGGGACTAATGGCGGTGGTAAGGTCATCAGCTCCATGGTGGGAGATTAATGCTAACCACCAATGTGCTCAAACTTAACAGTCCCAGTCTGTCCTCTGGTCTCCTCTTTGCTTGGAGGATGAGGCAGCAGTAAGAAGGCTCTCATTAGATGCAGTTTCTCAAACCCGGACCCCCAGCCTACGAGGCAATACGTTTCTGCTCATTACAAATCTCTGCAGCGCTCTGCATCTGGAGCAGAACCAACAAAAGGTCCAGGAACTCGCCTTCAGCTCACAGGCTGGGAGATGCTGCCCTGGCATCTACCAGGCCCACCTCTGAGGTTCTTTCCTGCCCTTGGGTGCCATACTCACTTGACTGGTGAAATGACAGAATGGTCCTTTGATGTGGCAACCTTACTCCAGGGACACATGGAAATACCTAGGTTTCGAGGATGGACATTGTGCTCTCCCTGGCGCTGATAACTGTTTAGGTTATCAAGTGTGTTAGGTCACAAGCACGTTAGCAAGCAGAGAGACTTAAGGAGACAATGTCTCCTCTGAGGGTCTCACTCTCTACACTTCTTAAGAAACCCTGGCAATCTCCACAGAAAGATTCTAAGCAAATCTTGGCCCCAGGCCAAGAGCTATTCATAAAATATATCTTGTATGCCCCTCCCCTCTTTTTAAAATTCCACATCCACACAATTTTAGAGTTAATTTGGAACAAGTAAATGGCTGGGGAGAGGAGGGGAGGGGAGGAACAGTGATGTGGGCCAAGTTTCAGTAGCAAATACTTCTCGGCCAGTTTGATGAACTTTCAGAGATACCGGCTGCCACGTGCGCTGGAAACGGAAACATTATTCGATGTGCTTAACACTTCCCGGGTGAACTTTGGAAAGCGAGATGTAAAATTTTCAAACTGTAAGGAAGCCTGCGGTCCTCAAGTTTCTGTGCTGTCAACAGATTTGGCGCTTATTTATCTGATTTTTCTTTTCCAGCCAGCTCACAGGAAAGCTCAGTGAAAACATGCATTTCTGATAGGACACATTACAAGCTACCGCTATCTCTCTCTCTCTTAACATTTTGCTCTTTTTTTCCCTCATGTTTTGAAATTAGTTGAAATAGATTCTATTTAGGGATCAAAGAGCTGGCGCAGGAGAAATAGTCATTTCTCTTCCGCTGTCATTGGCACCTGGGACGACGTTATTAAGAAATCATTTTCTGGATGGCTCTGCGTGTCACACCATCCTCCCTGTGGGTGAGATGTGGAGATCTGAGAATCTCCACACTTTCTAATATAGCGTGTCCACTCCCGGGTGGGAGCAGGGGGTAATGGTTCAAAGTTCAAGGTTAACTCTGCCAATACTAGCTCGGTTCAGGAGTGACAACCACCCTTGGTGACAGGTGTGTGTTTGAGGGGAATAATGGGACAAGACCCTGGCTGGGCCCTGAACACATGTGCACCCTCTTGGGGCCCATGGTATGGGGTCACCCTCAAGGTTCCCATGCCCTGGGTATATTATGTGGCAGGCTGCCTCCCCCAATTACATCTCCTTTCTGTCCGCTCATCCCTTTGCTCCTGTAGTGACAACGCACTGGCCTCTGCAGTCTGCGGGGACGTCTGACTTAGCAGATGCCTCGCCGCGTATGGCGGAAACTGTGCATGAAGCAAACAACCCAAAGGTTCAACTGAGGAAGAGCTAGCTACTCATCTGAGGAATGTCTGTCCATCAGAGGGCCGGTGGCCTGGGGAATGCAGCTTAGTAGCTCTGTGAGGTACCAGAATGGATGCATCAGTGGACAAATGAATGTATGAACCAGCAAATCTTCCACAAAATGGTAGTGGTAATGTGTTTGCCTGCCGGGCATGAGGTTCTGGGTTGGATCCCCAGCATCAGAGTGAAAACATAAACAAATAAGTCTGCAAACAACCAAACAAAGGCTGAGTATGAGTCAGTCACCGCCTGTCTGAAACTTCTAAAACCATTCATTTAAAAAAAGTCCCACTGAGGGGGAAAACTGCATAGTAAGCACACATGGAAACAAGAGAGGGCAGAATGCAGAGTAGCCAGGGGACCAGTACCACTACCGACATGGCCACTCAACTCCTGACTCTCAGAGGCTACCTTCTCTGCCATGGCAGAGCCCTAGAAGGGTCAAACACAGTGTTTATAAAACACTACTCTAATGTCCCTTGCAGTGCTGGGACAGAATCCAGCTCCCTGTGCATGCTGGGTAAGTGCTCTAACACTAGGTACCCATTCAGACCCAACAATTCTTCATAAGCAACGAGGAGGCTGAACGCTCCGAGTCCTATGGAGCCTAGGAAGGGGCCCTGGACAGTGGGTGGAGGGAGGAAGCAGGCAAAGAATGGGAAAGGACAGGCAAGAGTGGACCCCAAGAGCCTCAGGGATGAGAGACACTGTCTACTCCCTGAGTTTTACCCAGTGCCAGCTGCCCACTCCTACTGCATTCCTAAGACGTTTACAGACAACACTGAAATGAAGCTTGACCATGTTAATCAAAGACATAAAAATCCAATACACACAATCTCAGATTACACTCCTTGGACGCCCCCAGGCAGGCACAAGAAGGACTTACTTTCTTCTAAGTATGCAGGGCACAAAGCACCTGGAATAGGGAGTGGGTCTTGAGTTAGTTCAACCTCCCGACTTTAGGGACAACAGGAGGCAGAGGACATTGAAAACTTAAAGGCAGAGACACTGAGAAGAATCCTGGCCAGGGATTCCGAGACTCTGGGTGCTGCTGTGTGTCCCTGCGAACTCTGTGTCTTAGTTTTCCCACCTGTAATGGACTTTCCTGGTTGTGGGTTCTCTACTGTCGAATACAACCAAACAATTAGGACAGAATAACTCAGCCCGCTATAGCAAGATCAGAGGCACATACTGGCTAACTCTGCATCAGGGAGCCCATCTGCAGTACAGAGTTCAGGTCCAGGGTATGTCTGAGATGGGGCGGGATGCAGACGCCTTCACATTACACCTGTTGAAGGCTAGCGCTGCACTGGCTTACTTTTTTATCCCAAGCACACCTAACACGGGGTGAATAAGTCACTGGAGAGAAGTTGTTTAGGATGTAGAACTATTAGGCTTCAATGGAAGCTATCAAAACTGTCTAGTGCTAGTCAGCAAAATCCTATGTGCTTTACTTGCACTGAATCACTTGCCTGATGAACAGGGCAGAGCCCAAAGCAGCCGAGGCTCTTGTCTACCAAACACAGCACACCTAGTGCCAACCCTTCTGTCTAAAGATGGAGAACCGGGGCTAGGGCTGGAAAAGAGACGTCCAAGCCCCCTAAAGCAGAAAGCTGGGTACAATACCAGTCTTCCTGCCTCCCAGAGAAGAACAGGTCACCACACCAATCAGAAGTCAGGAACGAGATGCAGTCTACTTTAAAAGGCAGGACGGATGAGGTGTAGGCGGGACAGTTTGGTAGAGTTCAAAGGCACTCACTTCTCAAACCAAAAGAAAATGGGCTTGCTTAAAGAACAAAAGAGTATCAACAGAAGAAAGGGGAGAGGGCAGGAAAGAGAGCCTGCTAGAGTAGCCATCAATAGCAATAAACAGTGAACGAATGAATGAAGTGAGCTGTCACATGGTTGTGACCTTCCTGGTGATAATTCTCTTGAGCGTGCTATTACTAGGACTGACAAATATTTGCTGCAGGAATCATTACATGAATGGATATCACAAGGAAATTTTTTAAGGCTTCAATTCTTTGTTTAAACATCCCGATTTCTTCCTCAGGGATACCCGGAATTTACGCTGCTAATTATTTCCAAAATAATGTCACTTCTGCTAAATAAACACATCTCTTTTTTTTCCTCCTTAAATAGGAATTAGGCATTTAAGTGCTCTCAAGGGTTATTCCTGCAAGACATCTTCTGCATGCTAGCAAATGAACCCAAGCCTAATAAGATACGTGGTAATTATAACACGTCTGGCCAAGAGATGTTCTTCTATGCGTAAATATTTCATGGATCCAGCACCATGCAATGGTACCTGCAGAGTAAATTGCAGCCTCCGTGAGCCCCAGGGAAACTTAACCACTTCCCATTAATCAGCTCCTCTTGTTTTGGTACCTAGGATGGGGTGTCAAGAGACCAGAATCTATTAAGAGTGAAAATAGCCCTGAACGACAGACATTAACACTATTTTCTAAGAGGCTGCATTGCTGAGCTCTCAAATACAACATGCATGGCCATCAAAAGGCTTCCCTCGGTGACACGTCAGGGCAGAGGCTGTTAGTCTAAAGGGAAACTGAGTCACATCTACTAAGCTTTACCTCATTCTCTGGGGTGGGAGATGACGTCACAGAGCTAAGAGAGCCTTTCCTAGAACCCTGGATGTCCACTGGGATGGAGACAGGCCGTTCCCACTGAGTCGTTCCTGTTGGGATGTGCCAGTAGTAGGTCCCAGCAATGTCACTGATTCTTTTCCAGCCCGGCGGTAAATCTGGATCCGTCTGAAATGAGTGATCGCTCCAGATATCTGCTGAGAAATGGGAGAAAAAGAGAATTTTATTAAAAGAGAAAAGGAAGCTTCCAAAAGTCAGGTAAATCCCAGAAACAGAAACATCTACGTTCAACTGAGAAGAACCTGCCTATAAAGTGTGGTACAAAAGGATAATAGAGAAGGTAACAGAAAGAGCTGGAAAGCCTTTTTGTCTTAGTGACAGTGTCCTTTGCTTTACAGAAGCTTCTCAGTCTTAGGAGGTCCCATTTATTCATTGACGCCCTTAATGTCTGTGCTGCTGGGGTTATACGTAGGAAGTAGTCTCCTGTGCCCATGTGTTGTAGAGTACTTCCCACTTTCTCTTCTATCCGGTTCAGTGTGTTTGGACTGATATTGAGGTCTTTAATCCATTTGGACTTGAGTTTTGTGCATGGTGATAGATATGGATCAAGAACAATGGCAATGGGTTTTTGATCCTACTGCACGTACTGGCTTTGGGGGAGCCTAGGCAGTTTGGATGCTCACCTTACTAAACCTGGATGGAGGTGGGCGGTCCTTGGACTTCTCACAGGTCAGGGAACCCTGATTGCTCTTGGAGCTGATGAGGGAGAGGGACTTGATCGGGGGAGGGGGAGGGAAATGGGAGGCAGTGGCGGGGAGGAGGCAGAAATCCTTAATAAATAAATAAATTAAAAAAAAAGAAAGAGCTGGAAAGGCTGTGTGCCATCTGTGAAGACAGGCACAAAGACCTCTTTTCCAAGCCACCCCTTTCCTCCAAGAGCCCCAAGCTAAAGCTCTACGATTCACAACCAACCATGCAGGCAAACTCCACACGTTTACATACGGAGCCTACAGGATCCCGCTGTCAATCCGGAAGGATAACTGGTTGGCATGACACATCCTTGCTGGCCATAAGTCTAAATTTCTGCAACCACTTTCTATAGATAAGCACTGTGTTTGCATCGAAACACCCACAAAGGAGCAGTGTCTTTTTCAGGCCTTCGGGACTCTGAATTGCACACTTTTAGGAAAAGCAAACTGAAATAAATAGCTGTGGGATTCAACAGAGGACCAGACTGGCTTTGCAAGTGGGCCGGTAATGTAGAGACACGGAAGAAGGTGGGAGTGAGAGGCCCTACAGAATGGCGGGGAGTGTGCCCAATGGGCAAGCGTCTGCGGGGTCTAAAGGCATTCCGATTCAATAAATAACCCTTAAGCACAATGGGTGCCAAAGAGAGCTTCCCCACTGGACAATTCCTGGCACACTTAACCCACCCCAGTACTTTCCCTATCTATTGAGCAAGTATTTGTGTTGGTTTTTTTTTTTTTGTCCTTGAGTTGAATGATAAAGGGATTAAAATGTACAAGAGAAAAGAAGTAGAGCAAGGAATTCAGAAATGGAAAGATCGTGGAGAAGTCACAGAGCTACCAGAGTCTGTGTGGGCAGACTGACCACTTGGGCTCTAGATTTGAGCACTGTTCTATTTTAAGGGCTCAGCCCTTTTCTACACAGCCGTACAAAAAGCCGGAATGTTTTACTCCATTCCCAGTGAGACCACACGTGGGTCTTGCTCAATCCAACATCACTGTGTAATGTGGGCACACATTACCAAAGCTGTTACGGGAGAGAAGAAAGAGAGAAGCCAAACAAAGAGGGTGGGTAAGTCCATGGGCACAGATATGTATCCACACTGTTGCTGGTGCCCCAGCATCTTAGCTTGACAGAGGCAAAACTGCCACCAGTCTGGAATTATGGTGGAAACATTGCCCTCTATGCATAGGAAAATGAAGCATGAGTATGTGATTCCAAGTTAACAAAAGTTGCCCAAACAACTCTAACCAGATGTGTTTCTAGTCCCCGTTCCATTACAGTCTCTTGGGGGGTACATGGGTTGTTTCTGAGATCCCTTCGTTGTTAGCATCTCAGCTGGGGCAGGGAAGGTAAAATGCAGAGGACCTAAGTTGGAGAGATCTAGAGTATGAGAGTGCCCTTATAGGGTCTCATTTATGGGTCCTAGACACAGAGATCTGGGACAAAAATAGGAAAGGGATGAAAAGGGCGCCGTTCCTACCTCCATGGTTCATGAGGTCTGCGCATTATACTTGAGAGTGAGGAACAGTCACGCACACCATCGGAGTATGAAGTCACGGCAGACCAAGGACAGGGGGTAAGGTCCCTGGCTCTTAAGCCAGGCTGCTACCTAGACTATGTGAGAGGAACTCTGCACTAGATGGTAGGACTTGAGCTGTTCTGTGTTGAACCAAACACAATACATTTTTCTTTAACCTGGTTTGTATTTTTAGATTTCTGCTGAGATTGTGTTAAGAAAAAAATACTTGAACGGGGGGGGGGCTTATTCTGTTGCTAAAAATAGATAACAATGACGATGGTGGGAAAAGTGGGCGAACGTCCAACATTCACAGTTCCAGCATCCTGTCCAGAAGCACCCCATGCTAGTGTGAAAGCTAAGCACAAGGAGGGCAGGGAGACATCATGTCCATCTCATGCATCAGCTGAGATTCAATATTCAACAGGCATTCAATAGCGGGTGGATGGGTGGATGGGTATATGGGTGAATGAATGAAGAAAGAAGGAAGAAATTACTGAATGAATTAGGTTTTCCAATAGCAAACCTGGCATCTAACAAAAGAGGAATTCTGATGAAATGAGTTCTGTACACTGTCGTCACAAAACAGAGCACTAACATTCATTTAGGATCAAAGTCCTACTTCCTTTGATGGCATACATGACTGTCCTCACAGGTCAACAGAGATACAGACAGTCTTCTACAGCCACATCCGCGGGTTCCACATTTGTGGATGAAAGTCACTGAGGAATCACGCACGCTTTGTTAGATCTGCTGGGAGGTTCGAGAGCACAATGGGATATTCTTAGCTTCCAGTGGGAGTAGCCTAACAGCCATCGATATTAGAGACATTGTTTTCCCTTCGGAAGGTCATATGCCACAGCGATCTTGGTGTTAGAGCCAGCATTAGAATGCAAAGGTGCATCGTGGGATCCTGTCGGCTTCCCAGTTTTAGAACTGGAACTAAGATCAACTGCAAGGGTCTCAAAGAAAGAACGCACGGAAAGTTTCCAGAGCAGTTTCAGTATGGCAGGCTGCAGCACCACATTCTCATACCCCTGTCGGCTTGGCAAACACTAAAAGGCACTACATGAGAGGGCAGCTGGGCCAACCAAAGAGAACGTGCATACATCATGTAGACCTGTACACACTGGAGGGGAATTTTAACATAAGCATGCTGCAAACAAGACTATCATTAATTAATGAAGATGTTATTGCTCCATCACGACCCAGCAATTCCACACTTGGAATCTGTCCTAGAGAACCCATACGTACACATTAGGTATGCAGACCACAGCAGCCACATTACAATCACCCCCAACTCAAAACAACTCAGACCTCCTTTTATGGAAGAATGAGAAAACTACAACAGCATAAACAACTAACAAAAATGAGCTAAGTACAGCTGCATACAAGAATACAAAGGTCACAGCAGGCCACTGAAGAAAAGGAAGAAGACAAAGGATGCCATATTCACCACATTCCCACTCAGATAAAGTCCAACCGTTCATTATTTAGTGATAGAAATAAATTGTTGAAACTGTCAAAAATGCAAACACACAATTACCACATACAAAATAAAAATACCAGACTGATGAACAACCGCCAGAAGTGTGTATGGTGGGGTGGGGTGCGGTGGGGTGTTGGTTTTGATCAAAAAAGGGCATACTTTTGGTCTTCCATATTCTAACAAATTTCATCGCTGGTGAGATAGATGGTTCCTTTATAATTATCTATTAATCTGTATACTTAATCTGTATTTCTGAATGCCTATTTTTCACAAGAAAAGAAATAGAGGCTGGAGAGATGGCTCAGTTTGGTGCAGTGTTTGCCAGCCAAGCATGCTCTGAAGAAGTCACATAAAAGGTGGGTGTGGCAGGGTGTGCTTACAATCTCAGCACTGAGTGGGCAGAGTGGAGGCTCCCTGGAGGTCTTCTGACCTCCACATGCTCATTGTGACACACATATACACACACCACACACAGACACAGACAGACAGACAGACATACACACAAGCTAACGTTAGTTAGCCAGATCAGGATATTTTCAATGTGTACAAAGATGATACAAGCAAAAAACAAGGGGTTCATTCAAGAGTCTTGATGGTTCCAACAAGTACAGACCATTCAAGGAACCCAGCAGTGGCTTTATACAGCCTGACCTGGGAATGAGTGGGAATCCCCTAGGGATTCACTATCTGAATGGCCCTGGAATAACCAGATGGCTCCTTAGAATGTCAGATATTTATCAGTAAAACACAGGTCACTGTAGCAGCTGCCCAGAACAGAACGGGACACAGGACAGGAATACTTCCGCAATATAGGAAGATATCCAACCCACTAAAGCTCGCCCACTTCAGTACAAAGGAAAATGCCCAGTACAGAAATCACAATGTTAAATGCCCACCATGGTTGCAAGAAAAAGGATAAAACTGAAGATAATCTGGAGACTTTTCTGTGAAAATCACTCCAGCTCACTCCAGCAAGGCCAGTTGGGACAAGGCCTGCCCTGCAGCCATCCTCTGTCACAAGACACCCTCTTGTCCCCTAAATGTCCATCTGTCTATCTCTCTCCATCTCTCTTGCCAACAAGAAGAATCACTTCATCACTTTTAAACAAACACGCGCCGTTTAAACCATCACTAACACAATGCTACCCTTTGCTTAAGCTTCTCTTGAACACAAATCAACCCCAAATCAAGACAGTTGCTTTGCGTCTGTATAATTTTTTTGGCTTCTTCCTGCTGTGACTCTGCGGTCCTTGTTGGTGAAAAGGTCCTGCCTGCTCCACTATGTAAGACCTGGCTCAAGGTGATCCCGCTAGAAGGCAAATGCAGATTTGGGCCTTTCCGGTATTGCGTTGCTGTGCGCTCCAGATGCTAAGAGGATTAAGAAGGACACTGGTGCTGGCTGGGTGCGGATCGTGTGCCCTTCACTACAGGGACACAGGACA